CACAAAATTGAGCAACCACGAAGGGAATGTACCAATCTTGTATCCTGATGATGTTAGCTCTTCAGTTTGTGAAGTGTGTCCAGTTTCCGCACCTGTCGTTCAGACTGTTGCCGATCCAATCTCATCTAAGTTGGCTGCTGTACATCATGTTTCACAGGCCATTAAGTCTCTGAGATGGATGCGACAACTGCAAAGCACAGAACCCGAGGTGATGGATCAATTCAATGAAAATCATGATAAACCATCATCTTTTAATGTTTCTGTTTGTGCCTGTGGAGATGCTGACTGTATTGAAGTTTGTGACATTCGTGAATGGCTGCCAACATCCAAGTTGGATCATAAGTTGTGGAAGCTTGTGCTTTTGCTTGGGGAATCATATTTGGCACTTGCGAAAGCTTATAAGGAGGATGGCCAACTGCATCAAGCTTTAAAGGTTATTCAGCTATCATGTTCTGTCTATGGATCAATGCCTCCACATTTTGAAGACACAAAATTTATTTCTTCGGTGGCTAGCGGCTCATCCTTACAGAGACAACTCATTGATCTGAATGAAAACACATGGCAAGATGATGTAAAATATGAGACTGTTACTGGCTATATTGAAAGAAAGTCTTCTACTTACCTTTTCTGGGCAAAAGCATGGGCACTAGTAGGAGATGTTTATATTGAATTCCATAGGATGAAGGGTAAAGAAATCTCAATACAAGATCTGAAAAAACCTGCTACCAGAGAATTGAGAATGTCATCTGAGGTTGTGAAGGAAGTTAAAAGGCTGAAAAAGAAGTTGGTTCAGATGAACCAGAACTGCAGTTCATGTTCCTTGGTTAACTGCAGCTGCCAGAGCGACAGAGCTAGCAGTGGAAACAGTGCAAGCAGTAGTAGTGCAGATGTAAGCTTCATGACTCATGGTAGAAAGCATAGTAAACGATTGTCTGCTAAAAATGCCAATTACTTGCCTCCAAAGGACCCAGGAGATGTTGAGTTCATTCATGAGAATGGAAAAGATTTTGACAGCAAATACATTGAGCACAGTAATTATGATGGAGACTTGAATCAGATAGATACTCTTGAGAATAGAATGGAGATTGGATCTTTGGCTGCTATAAACCCTAGAACCCTGGAGGAATTATCAGAGATGGACGCCTCATGTTCCAGTGTTGTCTCTCAATCGGAAAATAATTCAAAGGAGACAGGGAAAGTAAAAACTGGTGGGATATTCGAGTACCTAGTTGAACCTCTTGTGGGAAATGTAGAGTCCAATCTTTTAGCTGCTTTAAAGTGCTATGAAGAAGCTAGACAAGCATTACTTAAACTTCCAAATAGTTTGTCTGAGTTACAATCCGTGGTTAAAAAGAAAGGGTGGGTTTGTAATGAACTGGGCCGAATTAGACTTGAAAATAAAGAGTCAAGTATGGCTGAACTAGCATTTACAGATGCTATAGATGCATTTAGAGAAGTTTCAGATCACGCCAACATAATATTAATAAACTGTAATTTAGGCCATGGCAGACGGGCTTTGGCTGAGGAGATGGTATCTAAAATAGAGAATCTTAAATTACATAATATTTTCCACAGTGCATACAATCATGCATTGGAAACTGCAAAACTGAAATATTTAGAATCCCTTAGATATTATGGGGCAGCAAGGGTAGAACTGAATGCCATGAATGATCATGATGATTCTGTGGCAACCAGCCTGAGGAATGAGGCACACACGCAGTTTGCTCATACTTATCTGCGGCTTGGAATGCTTTTGGCAAGAGAGAATACTACAGCAATTTGTGAAAATAGATCACTGGAAGATACATGTGGAAGTCACACAAAGCCCCAAGACAGAAAAAACACAAAAGATTTGAGAAAGCATGAGATTTCAGCTAATGAGGCCATCAGGGAAGCATTATCTGTGTATGAGTCACTCGGTGAACTACGCAAACAGGAGGCTGCATATGCTTACTTCCAATTGGCTTGCTATCAAAGAGACTGTTGTTTGAAATTCATGAATTCTGGCAATAGGAAAAGCATTTTGCCAAAAGGAGAAAATAATGCTGTGCAACGAGTAAAACAGTATGCATCTCTGGCAGAGAGGAACTGGCAAAAAGCCCTGGACTTCTATGGCCCTACAACTCATCCTAATATGTATTTGACTATTCTTATGGAGAGATCAGCTCTTTCATTAAGCCTTTCATGCTATTTACACTCCAATGTGGTATTTTCCTGCACTTCTTTTATACATTAATTTAATTCTAATTATGACTATATTTTACTGAAATAATTGAGATGATTGAATTCATCATTGACCTTCTCTGTTGCACTATGCTCTCGAACATCTATGTATATTATTAATAAAGACTCCTTGAAAGTTAACATAGTTGGGCATAATCCATTGATTTGTTTGTTAACTTATAAAATTAACTTTGCCACTTTCCAGCTATAAAAATATTATAAAATCCATGAAGTTTTGTATTTCCAACTTAAAATGTCTCCATGGTGTTGGGTTCAAGTTGATATCTTAGCTATGTTGTTTTGTGACATGTCAAACTACATAATATGTTGATGTACTGTATTTTGACAAACTCGACCATCTTTGGAATAAGGAGGACCATCTTTGGAATAAGGAGGGTCGGAGAATACATAAAATGATAAAAAATTTTAGACATTCCTGACTTGCATTTTTCTGAATCAATTAATTGCCGTAAATATCTTTTGTGATATTCCATAAAATTTAGTATAGATTATTGATGAATATACCCTACTCTGAATAATTTTATTGAAATTTGGTTTGATATACCCATCACTTGAACCAGTGTATATTTCTGTCATTTGTTGATTCTTCCAGAATTTTGTTGCAGGTGCTGGAATCAGCTTTGGTTCATATGCTTGAAGGACGCCATGTATCAGATACTAATGCGGACACATTCAGTACTAATTATCCTGAATTACATGCAAAATATTGGAGTCAGTTGCAGATGCTTTTGAAGAAAATGTTGGCCGTGACACTTTCATCGAGTGCAAACAAAACTCCGTGTCAACCATCTTCGACATCTAGCAGATTTGGAGATGGTGGAAAGATCAAGGAACTCTACAAGATGTCCCTAAAGTGTACGGATATGATCCAATTGCATGACATGCACAATTTGTGGATATCATGACGAGAATTTAATCCAATTTTCCGCACCGTGTACTGTGACGACCTTCATGATGACATTCTTCTCTTGGTAACATCATATCAATGTAAAATTATTAGAAAATATTTAACAGTGTTAAAGAGAAGATTGGACAAAATCAATGTAAGTTTACGCTTGGAAGCTATTTTAACCACTTTCGGAGTTGATATAAAGATATCAGAAATATAAGAAGATATTTAAATATATTTTTATTGTCTTGAGAAAGAAGTTTATGGTCGCTTAAATAACATAATTTATATTTTAAAAACTATTAAGGTTATTTGTTTTTAATTCTTATTTAAAAATATTAATGAAAAACTAACTTTTTAATGGGGTGAAAATCAAACATTGAATTGAAACCTTAATAAATTATTTAATATAAAATGATTTGCGGATTTTAAAAACCTGTCCAATATGACATGTAAAAAAGTTTAAAGATTTCCATGATTAAAATTTTATAATGTAGATTTTAATGAACTCTATCTTAACTATTTTTAAGATTTGAAAGTAAAAAAATAAAGTAGTTTAAAAATGAGAATTTCTTATGAATATAATGTTTCATCATTAATAAACCATCATTTATTATAAAAGTCAATCTATATGGATCTATCCAATTAAATAAAAACAAACTATCCAATAAATCTAATAAAATAATGTTCAGTCAAGGTTTTTAATAGTAAAAGAAAACAAATGCAACGCTAAAGGTTAAATATAAAATTGCAAACTTTTTAATGTTTGTTATTGGAAAAAAATATAAATAAATTGATGAATAATTAAATCAGAACTTAGTTGATTTTGATTATAAACAGTTCATCTGATGCAAGTATAAATAGTTAAAACTATTTGATATTTTATCACGAATAAATATCCGACTAAATAAATTATGACTATTTTTAAGAAGAGAGGAATATCTACCTACGACAATTTAATGCTTAAATAAATAATAAATATAAATCTTTTTCTATAAAAGTAATAGATGATTTAAAATAAATAAAAATAATATAATGTATAATTTTTTTTATCAAAACTATTTTAGATAACAAAGATACATGTAATAATTTATTTTTATTACAATATTAATATTTAATTAATATATTATTTTATTAATATTTATTAACAAAATATTCCAATCATTAAATATGACCAGATACAATATTATTACTTAACTTTATATGTACTTTAAAGCTTTTAATTTAGAAAGTCACTTCTCAATAAAAATACCTAAAAATAAATAAATATTTTTTATGTTTTTATGACAATTGAATTAATACGGTCGTAATTATAATATAAAATTAAAAAAATCTTTAAATTCTTTGATACAAGGTATTTTATAACTTCAATATTTTTTTTACTTATATCTTTCTATTAAAGAGATGACTATGGTGTTGTTATTAAACAATAGAAAGAGAATTTAAGAAATAGTAATTAACCTCTCTCCTTTATTTTTGTTTAATTGTCAAATTTTTGAAAAATAATTTTTGTTTTTATTCTATACAATATTAATTTTTTATTATCTATATTCCTATTTTCATCAAATTTAATTAGTTTACATATATGCATTAATTGTTAAGCGAACCTTAATGATAGAGGCGAGGCATATTTTCGATTTTAGAATTTAATAATTATTTTTTCTTTTTACAATCTAAAATTATATTATATTTTAATCCTCAAAAATTCTGAACATGAGAAGGTGTTGGAAAATTACGGTTGCCAAGTGGCAGAAGCACACGTTGACACCAAGACAACGGTTGTGGCTTCATCTCTAAGCAAGAATCTTTGGCCACATCCGTCCATTGTTTTATTTTTTCTTACAAAATTCGGCACTAAAACCACACAATGGTCACGCCCTTTATCCTCAGAATCTCAGGACTCTTCATCCTCGTTTTGTTCGCTTCAGTTTGCATAGCCATGTCGGATTCCACCGCCACACCGCTGGACCAGCATGCCACCGGTTCCCCCTCTGCGCCGGCGGTTCACATCGTCTACACCGAGAGGCCACAGGATGAGGAGCCCGAGGCTTACCACATCCGAACCCTCTCTGCTGTCCTTGGCAGGTGCGTGCTTCTCTGAGAAAATCGTGTTTTTCGATATATGCGTATATGGGTAACAACTTAATCTTAGAATAAACCATCGATTATTTTTCTCTCTCTAGTAGTTTCTAAACTGATGAGATTATATAATTGGTTTCTAGAGTATTGAATTACGTCGATCTAGTCCTTAATTGGGACTGTTTGAAGAATTTTTAATACCTACTGTGACATGATTTTGTTACTCGGGTTTAGAGTGTAGGATCTAACACAACAATGTAAAACCAGTGTTTGTAAGTGGGAGTTGTCTTTTGCTTCTGTAATTTAATTTGGTTATATCATTAGTCAATATGGCATCTTCACTACACCTTTAATGCTGAGGATTGAATATTTTGAATATGAAGGTTGTAAGACTTAATGTTTGTGGTTGGTCTAGGATATGCCCACAACAATTGATAGGATAGGCTTCACTCCCATTTTAAAATTTGGGTTTTAACTTTTAAGTTTGAATTATATAAAATTGTGTGTAAAGTGAGGGATGTCCTCACTCATATACTTCAATTTGATCACATCACTAACGAGAAGAAGGTAATACTTAAGGGAGCAAATTGATAGTTTATCCAATTTTAGAATAAATATTAACTTTCTTTTAGAAAATCCTGAGATCTAATTTAGTCCAATCTTGTAAACCTCTTGACTATAGAACATGATACTTAAGCGCTTTCATTGGATTGAGTAAACAGATTTAGGATCAATATAAATGGAAAAGTACTTTTGCAAATTCCAATTCACAAAATGAAAAAGAGAGTAAATTGTTTCTTTGGAAGTAAAAATACTTGAGTTTTTCCCTTCTGAAATCTAAACATGCATTCACATAATAAGTGATTCACTTCTTCTGCTCTTTTAGAATCACTTCTACTGCTATTTTAGAATTGGTGGTTTTATAGAATTTAATTAGAATGCACTGACATTTTCATTTGGTTGGTGATTGCAGCGAGGAGGCTGCCAAGGAAGCTTTGTTGTATAGTTACAAAACTGCAGCTAGTGGGTTCTCTGCTAAGCTTACTCCGGAGCAGGTTGAACAGATTTCAAGTAAGTTTGGCTGTTTTCAATCTGTTTTTTATTTATTTATCATTATGTCTTTTAAAATGCCTGATGTTTTATGTTTCATTTATGTTATATTTTTTACCCTTTTGGTTAATGACTTTTATCTTTTTGAAATTCCCTGATGCATAGTCACTTTTTTATGATTGCATATAAATGTTTTGGATAATCTGATGTCCATATTTCATTTTGATTTGTACAATTTGTAATATGACTGTTGTTATAAGATTTTTATTAAATGTTTAGAGATAGATTATTTAAAAAATCATAATAATCTTGTTGGTTTGGGTTGAGGTAGTTGGAACTTGAAGAAGTTTCTTGAGTTATGGATTAATTTGTGGAATTGCTCTGACAAGTAACACTTAATTAACTTCCATGGAAACATTGATTTAATTTTAATCCATAGTAATGGCAAGTAACATGCATATATGATTTTGCTTTTTTTAGCTAAATTCTCTCTGTGCACGAATTTTATTATAAAATTTTTGGAACACAAAATAATCTGTTTTGATCTGCATTCTCTTGTATTATTTTTCTTCCTATACAATTTTTGTCCGACCTAATAATATGTTTCTGGTACCTTTTGTATTCATATAGTATATGTTACCCCTATTTCTTATCCCAGTTGGCATTATCCTTGGATCTTTGAGGGAAACATTATAGTGGCATCTTTTATGCTCTGATATCTCGGGAGAAGGGGTTCAAACATTCAACTGATAGAACTTCTTGAACCACAATCAAGTTCCTGTGGTCTTCATGATGCTCTTTTGTGTGTCATGCATGTCTATTTCCCCAAATTGCACCTTCCAATCATATCAATCAGAAGATTATGAGGCGTCCTAAGACTTAAAGAGAATTTAACATTTTCATATTCTAACTTTATTGGAATTATGGTTATCCCAATCTCCAGAGAGATAAAGGAAAAAATTTCAAATATTAATTTATTACTTTAGAATATGATAGAATATTTGTTTAATCTCTGTAAAAATTTTCAAAATGGAATTTAGTCCTTCAATTTATTGTCCTATTTGCATTCATTAAATATAAAAAATACACTATTTTTGGTCTGACATTTGTTATAATTAATATTTAATGACAGTTGTAAACCACCAGAAAGTTGGAGGATAAAACAAAATAGAGTATTTTCATATTCAAGGATGAAACCAAAGCAATTTGTTTTTTGGAAGATTAAAACTGAATTTGAAAAATTTAAGATTGATGAAAATCACATTTTATCATTTAGAATTATTAATCTATTGATTGAAATTCAAATCTTATAATGACTAGATGTTCACAAGTTGGTTTCATGGATTTAGTGTTGTTGAATTAGGTCCAAACCCAAGTTCTTAAAAAGTTATTCACTAAATGATTAAAAAGTTAGAGACTAAAGAAACTTAAGGATTTGTTGAATCACTACTGTTATTCTCTGTTGCTCATGATTTACTATCTGTGCTGATTTATCTCATTGTGGAAAATGTGTTACCTCCATGAACTGTAATGGATGCTTGATGTTTAAATTTTTACCCCTTGACATTGTGCAGAGCAACCAGGTGTTCTTCAAGTTGTTCCTAGCAGGACATTACAGCTTCATGGACCAACTAACCCGCAGTAGAGAAAGTTCATCTATTCATGTATCAGTTTCAAACAGTTTCCCACACCATGTATGAACTAAACTACTGTGGTTGAGCCTTTATAACTTACTGGCAATAAACATGAGATCAATACATGTAATATACTATATTCTGCTACATCTTTATCAATGTCTCATGTATTCAAGGTGTCACCATTAACTAGTGTGGTTGAACCCTGTGTTCAGATGCTTTGAGATGTAAATACTAGAGGCACCCTTTGCACCATTAATTTGAAGGGTTTGTTTCACGGATTGATATTTCTCAAATATGATTTTAAAAAATATTTTTAGATATTATTAAGAAAATCATGTTTAAAATATGATCTTAGTTTTTTTTTTTAATGATAAAGTCTTAATTGATTTTGTAATTTTGTTTGTGTGTCTCAAATACAATATACCCCATACAAATACCGATGCAAATAAGTTATAAATTAATTTTATACACGTATAAAAGATTAAATTAAATGGCTTTTTTTTCTAATTTTATTGTATTAGTATAAATTTGATATACTTTTTGTAATTAGTATTTAATCTTTTAATAAAATATACAATCCGACTACTTATTAATGAAACTAAAGTTATATTAAGTTATATTTTATTAAGATAATATTATTAAAGATATATCAAAGTCGCATAATGACATATATGATATATAGTAATGGTCAACAACCAATGACAAGGAAGTGTACTCATAACTTGGCTCAGAATCATAGTGGAAGTTACAAGTTACCAGAATATAGGTCACCAAAAGTCATACTTTTCTTAGCTACTTGCATTCAAATTCCCACAAAAGAAGTTATTATTCTTCCATTTCTGTCGAACATTCATCAAAATAATGGGATAAACTATTTAAAAATCAAATAAAAATATGAATATAATTAAAAATGAGATAACTAACTTCAAAATCAAATATTGTAATTAAATTAATTCTTTTCTAAGTTTTGACTCTCTTAGTTTCAATTACTATTTTTATTTCTTAATTTCAAAATCCTAAAATTCTAATTTGTTAAAAAATATATTACATAATAAACTTGAATTTGATTAACATATGTTCTTAGACTGACCTATGTCAACCTCTATATTACACTTTTAAAGGAGGACTTAGTTTATTTTAATTCATCTACACCATGGTTGTTAAAATATCAACTGTTCCAAAACAATAGACTGAATCAACTAAGACACAATATTTATTTATTTGATAGTAAAAATATTTCGTATACATAATAGTTTCATGATCAGATTAAGTTGAGTAAAAAATAACATTAATTTATTTAAAAAATTAATTAAATTGGGCAATAATAATAATAATAATATCAAATTAAAATAACTTAAAAAAATAAAATAAATAAAATAGTTAGCTCAAAAATAATAACTTAAGAAAACGTATAAGAATTTTTATATAATTTATTTTTAATTTTGTAAAATTATTTTATTTTATGGGGAGAAGCTTGTCCAGTACAAGCATTTGGTAAGATTTTTCCTTTTAAAGCATTTCCAAAAGTCAAACGAAGTACGCAAGCGACGATTCAAGTAGCACCACCACAGTTCATCCAGTTTAGTAGCAGCAAAAATGGGTCATTCTTCTATATTCTTCATCTGCACTCTTCTTCTTCTTCATCTTCTTCTTCTTCTTCTATTTTCTCCATCAACTTGTGCCTCTGCATCCGATGATGTGGTGCTGCACGCGAAGAAGCTCATCAGCGACCTCAATCTGTTCCCCGACGACGACGTCAACGTCGTTCCCGTCGCTAATTCCTCTCTCCAACCCGGGAAGATCGTTGAGAAGCGCCTCAGGTTCCCGAACCTTGTAGCTTCGGATTCCGAGCCTTCGGTTGAGGATTTGGGTCACCACGCTGGGTATTACCGCATTGAGCATTCACATGCCGCAAGGTGCGCTTCTTGTGGATTCTATTTGACGTTTAATTTAGTTTCTGTTTTTGTCGTAAACTTCATTATACCCTAATTTCGATTCGTCTTTTGCTTGTTTATGTTCTACTACATTCTGTCATATGTGCTGTTACAGGGTAATCCTGCTAAATGAAAGTAGCATGGTTCTAATTTTGATACAACTAATGAAATTAACTTTATATATGACTGTAAAGGGACTTTAACGACCATTTTTTATTATACACTCATCAATGTTAGTAAATAAAAAAAGGAGTTTAATTTTAATATAACACCAAGAGTAAATTACATTAATCACAACCTTCTTGAAATTACATAAATTCTCTTATTACTCATAAACCAACCAACCTTCCTTACTTGATTGTTTTAAAAAAAATATTATAATGATATTCTTATATGTTACACTAATTCGTTTAGTTGTTTGAAAAATATTATGCGTGCTATCTGATGTAATAAAACATGAATAATTTTTTAATTTCATAAAACCTGATAAATAATTGGTGATTTAAATGACTTTTACACTCAACAATATTACCTTATGACTTCTTGAGTATATATTATTTATTGTAAAGTCAAATGATTTTGTTTGGAGTTTAATTTTGACGAAACTATCACTCAAAAGATTTTTATATTATTTTAGACATTTGAATTAATTATAAAATAAAATAAAAATTTATAATAGATATGATAATACTTGATTAAATGATAACATAAATTTTTAAGTTTTTTAATTAACTTTCAGTTTGTGATTGGTGAGAGTAGAAAAATTATAACGTACTTACACTGTCTTTTTACATTCTGCAACTTCACATAAATATTCTCTTAATTATTTTCTTGCAAGAAAGGTTTGATGTTAGTTCGTGCATGGACCTTAGCTTCTTAAAGCAATGGGTAGGGCCGTAGTTTTGTAATTTGTGGTAGTGACTATTATTAAATGATTTTGGCTATTCTAAATTTCTTGTGTGTCTAAAGTTTATGGGATAGCTTATCAGTTTAAGTCAAGTTAAAAGTGGAAATGCCTTTATTTATTTGCTTGATGGAAATACCATTATTTACCTACTATAAATATTAGCTTTAGAAAACTCATTTTTTTGTAAAACACGAGTACCGGTTGAGTATTGGTTAAGAAAACAGAAAAGTTATTTTATATTTTCATTTTTAACTATTTCAAACTATTTTTTTGGATGCATTAATTTTTTCATTAACTAGTATATTTAAGAGATATTTAACAATTTTTTTTTCCAAAACTATATAAAATTTTAAGAAAACAAATAAAAGAGAAAAATATTTAAAGAGATAATATTTAATCCCTAAAATCGACAATGTATTGCTTTGAACCCATATCTATAAAGATGGATAGTTGTAAGTGTAAAAAGTTTATCATACTAAGAACAACACTAGTTAGTACAAGTAGTAGCAACTTTTGTCTCTTAACCAAATGGTCTAGGGTTTGAATCCTTGTAACGTTTGAAATAAACCATGTTGAGAGGGGAATGCCTGCCGTTTGTATGCTCAAGGGTACCAATATCATTTTTGGTCCTTAAGAGTTGTAGGTTTTGGCTATTGATTCGTGAAATTTTTTGTTTGCACATGAGTTCCTAAATAGTTTTTTCTGTCGGGCAAATTAGTCCTTCCGTTAAGAAGTCTGCTAACAAAAGTCCAAATTAACAATTAAGTGCCATGTTGGCACCTTTCTTAATCCTAATTGACATTCAAGTCCCTAAATAAAATTAAGCAATTTAGTCCATGATATTGCATGTATCTTTTGCATGTTATTGATAAAATTCCATTTGTTATGTACATGGTCACCCAAGTCCACTCGTAGCAAAGTTAGGAACTACTTCCAATTGTTCTTGTTCTCTACATCCACCATAGCATAAGCATTCACAAAAAATGTGGTTACTAGCATCATGTCCCACGGCAGACAATCATTGGTCACCCATGTAATTCTTGAGGAGGCATCCATCTAAACCAATAAAGAGTCTTCAACTTGCCTTTAACCTTTTTTGCAAGCATTTCAACAAACATTGAAAATGAGGCATAAACCTGGAAATGGTGATTTAATCCATCTTTACAAGTTGCCACGATTTCTCCTTAACATTTCATAAGCATAATCAAATACATGCTCATACTATACTGCTCCTCATAGGTACCTTCTATTCTCTCCCTTGCTTCTCTCATAGCTCTAAATATCTTGGACTCTTCCATATACGAGGTGGTGCTTTGTGTAGACTCTCCCCAGCTGATTCCTAAGAATCTGACTCATCACCAGCACTTTCTTCCCCATCATGTAACTCCTAAATCTCTTTCCTCATTATCTTCTTCTGTACCTACTTCTTCCTCATCAGCTTCTTGTTCCCTACCATTTTCGTCATTAACAAATTCTTCTTCCTCACATCTTCTTCATCACCTTCTTGTCCCTCACATCTTCTTCATCACCTTCTTGTTCCTCATATTTTCTTCTTCATCACCATTTTGTTCCTTACCATCTTCTTCCACCATAGTTTCTAAATGAGGCCTAGCATTAGTAGGTCCTTCAACAAATTCTGGAAATGGATCAGGTTAAAGTAAACATTAATCTCCTTCCCTGGGTTTGCAAGATAGCAATTCAACAACAAAATACTGTCAGCATTATCCACAATGGGTGTAAGCCATTCTCCAGTCTTCCTCAAGTACATCTCCCCAGCCTCATAGACTTTTTACACAAACCAATCAAGTCCTTTAGCACCCAAGTATTCATGTAGTCCTCATCCATGTTTTTCAAACGCAGAACTCCCCACCACTGTACTCCAATTGTGGATGTAGAGAACAAGGAAAATTAGAAGTAGTTTCTCTTTTGCTATAAGAGGACCTGGATGACCATGTGAATAACAAATGAAATTTTTGCAATGACATACGGTTTGGTGGACTAAATTGCTTGTTTATCATTTTATTTAGGGACTTGAATGCCAACCAGGAATGAGAAAGGTCTCACCATGACACTTAATGGTTGATTTGGACTTCTAGTAAAAGACTCATTAGCAGAAGGACTAATTTGCCCAACTAAAAATTTAGGGCCTAATTGGGAAAAAAAGGTTTTCAGGAAACAATCAGCCAGTACATTTCAGGACCGGTTGTGTACTTCACTCGTTCCTAATTTAAGTGATTAAACTGTATATTAATTCATATTTAAAAGAAAGTAACACTGAAAATTATCAGAGAGATGTGTATTAGTAGTTTAGATAAAATTTAAATGATATAGATAATGATAGTATTAAAATTTTGGAAGATATGCATAATTTATTTAAAAGAATTTGAATGAGGAACTGAAATTAGGAGAGAAGAACAAAATCTTAATGTAAAAAGGGAATTTTAAAAGGAAATAGTTTAATTTGAGAACATAATAAAGAAATTTTAACTGAATAAGGAAAATTTAAAAGTAATTTTTAATGACTTTTTTTTAGGTGCCTTAAGGATGAAGAGAGTCTAGTAGACGTTTTCAGTCTATTTTATTATGTAAAGGTGGATTACCTTTTTGTGAAATTTTTTTCTTATTGTTAAATAGCATTGTTTTCACTATAAATTTATAAGCTAATAATATTCAATATAGTCCTCTCAAGTCGTAGCTTGTGTTGGTTTGATCCTTGAAAGTTTTTTGTCTATACAAATCACATGTTTCTACTTTTAGGATCAATTTGTATATTTAATTGCAAAATTATACTATAAAGTCTTCAACTTTGGGAAATTATAATTGCATGAGTTTGGTAAATTCTAAGTAGTTGTCATTTTTGTAACCTTGGACATTTAAAATTTATTATGCAATATTATACAGTTGTTTCATGAGCTGTAATATTGTGGTAAATTGTAGATTTCAATTTGTAGTATATTTATGTAAGTTGTTTCTCACAATTTGGTTGGTTCTGCAGGATGTTCTACTTCTTTTTCGAATCACGCAACAGGAAGGAGAGTCCTGTCGTTATTTGGTTGACAGGGGGGCCTGGGTGTAGCAGTGAATTGGCTTTGTTTTATGAAAATGGCCCTTTCAAAATTGCTGACGACTTGTCTCTTGTGTGGAACGAGTATGGTTGGGACAAGGTATTCTAAATTCACTTTATCAATGTTATATGTGCGTGAGTGTATGCAAGTAATGTAAGCATATACAATCAATTTTTGATGAATTCATGTAGCTTCTTGAGAGCTGTTTTTTAAAATTTCTAGGAAAGTAACTTCATAAAAATGGGTTTTTAGATACTTTTCGCAACAAAACATTTCCATTGGAGGATGTGAGAATCTAAGATTCCTAGATAGTAGGAGTACTTTAACTATACTCATGATAACATTTCTAGATACCAATTGTTGGAATTGTGGTAGAAAAAATAAAACAGAGGAAAGGAGCGGAAGCAAAACACATGGGAATATTTTTTATCCGAAAGCAATAATCTAATATTTTATTAATCAACAACTTTTACAATTATAATGATTGAAAGTTCAAAACAGATTAACAAATTAAGATATATAATTATCAGTGACTAATTGACTTTTTCCTATAGTAAAGGTGGCAATAACCGACTACTGCGAATATATTAAACAAACTGAAACGGTAAAGAGAAAGTCACATCTAAATCAATATTTAACAGATACTTAAAACATAGTTACGTGCAATATATAAAACAAATATTTAACTGTTTCATAAAAACGTACAGAAAAATTCATAGTCCCAACTCTCTTATTCAGATTGCTAGATAAATGAATAGGTTCGAGTAATAGCAAAAGAGTTTGTAGTTCCCTATCTTCTATATTATTCAAGTTTTAACAGAGTTGAAAATCATATTTTACTTGAGGACTCTGAATGGAATGAAACTTTGAAAGGGAAATTATGGAAACTAGATATACGTAAGCAAACAAACTCTCCAACTAAGGAACATTCTACTTAAATATCCTCCCAAAGCTTAATAGAAACACCATGACCCAATCCAGTTTCTTATTGATATTTCAAAATAAACCAACAGCCAATATGAGATATATCCCTGGGAATTAAACTTGAGTTGCTGTCTAGCAGAGTTAGCTTGTGAGCAGCTTTTTTCAATGTGGCATTAGCCTTTGAAAATAACTTAGTCATTTATAAAAAAACTTAGTCCTGTATAAAATGGTGCATAAAGTGGATAGCTGAATAGTGTGTACAATACGATCTAGTAATTTTTTGGCTTTTGGATTGTCAATTTTTGAAGAACAAATAAATGTTTAATCTCCCCCCATTAGCTTGATATAATGTTTTAAAACATTTTGAATTAATATACTATTTTTATTAAAATAGCGAATCATTATAATAGAATTGTCTTTAAGAAACAATGAAATCACTTGGTCAAATAAAATCAAGTTTGTTATTGTACTTAGTCATTTATATGTGGTTATTTTATGTCATGTTAATGGTCATAATAGGGTCTCTTTGTTTTAAGTGACCACTAACTAATTGTTAAGGTTTTCAATCTGTACAATATGATCTTGTAATTTTAGCAACAAATCAATTGAGCGGAAGTAACCACTTGCAGTTTAGGATGCTTCACATCTTCCTGAAAGGCATCAGACAGGATTCCATTGTCCTGAAGCAAACCAATTTAATTTGCTAATTTGTTTTAGATTAATTTTTCTGTATCAGAAAGTATGGGTTTTCAATATGTTTTCACATGGAGAGTTGTCTAACTGCAAATGTCTTTATGAGGATAAAAATAAACTTGCTATCTTAAACTGCTTCTGCAATGTACGTTTCCTGTGAAAATTATTTATGGGAAGTAAAGTTTGTTGGTAATCTTGTAGGTATCAAACCTTTTATATGTTGACCAACCAACTGGAACTGGCTTTAGCTACAGTACTGATTTGCGCGACATTCGTCATAATGAAGATGGTGTCAGCAATGACCTGTATGACTTTATTCAGGTACTTGTGTTTGCTGTGAAATATCAATATTAGTTACACAATTTTAGTATAATGTTCAGTTATTACCTGCCACTTATTATTTGAGTAAATTATATTCGCCTTCATGAAGAGATACTAAAATTACACTTCCTTCTCTTATTTTAAAATATATACTTTTTCTCTTATATTAATATTTCAGGTGAATAATCATGAAATCTCTTGATGATATTGTATCTTTATCTACTACTTACAGTGTCATCAACAAATAATTTTGAATTTCTTATTATGCATTTTAATATTTTAGTAGTTTAAATCAAGTTTTAAATACTTTTATTTTGAAATTTCATCTAAAATCTTTATTTTCTAAGGTCACAGAATTGGTGATAGATGTTCAGAGTTAGCTTTTAGCTATGTTGAGAATCCCCATGATAGTAAAAAAATCTCTATTATGCTCATTCACATTAAAATGGACTCATTTAACACTTTCATCTTTTAAGGGAAATTATATGCCCAACGGGTCATGAGGGTGCAGGTTAATTGTGATTCGGGTTCTACTCAGTACTCAGTAGTCCTTGCCCAATGCCTTAACTCTGGGAAGCATTCATTTCTAATGTAGGGTGTTATGATGTGTCAATGCTAACAACTTAATCTTTTGGCATAAGTATAGTGGGTTGACTTGGTCCAATGTATTCCGGTCCAAACACTAGCCTGCCCTGGTATACCCACTAGGTTCTGATCAGCTAGGCAGGACCAGTTTTCGCAAACTTGGTTTTGAGGACAATCCTTCTCCAAGAGGGAGGAAAAGATATGTCCAAAGGATCACCAAATTGTTGTGAGGTCTGCAGGTTGGGTTAACTTGGTGGCCTATGCCCAATGGTTTAAATGGGGAAGGATTGTTTCCTGGATTTTGACTAATGATTTTGGAGGACCAAATAATATATTATTAATTAAAATGGGAAACAATATAAAATATTTTCTTATTTAATATATTTAATGGTTTGTTAAATAGGGGTCAAAGTTGTAAATATGCAATTAGGTCACAAAAATTTGGAGGCCTTCTCGTTCTTCGCAAGAGTCCCGGTCTCATGTCCATTAGGATAACATCTTTAGGATCAATTCCCATGTTTGAGGTATTGTCCGTTTTGGAGTTCTGACACCTCATTGGATTAAAAGAAGAGTGTATATAAATTATCCTTGACCTCAACTCCTAAACGATGTGACGCTCGTGAACGTACCATAACAGTATGGAAGATGCACTTGCTAAGAATTGGCATAGGTTGTAGATTGAAACTTACTCAGCTTCTGCAGTAAAAGCTTTCAAAAACGAGGATTTGGTGTCATGGAATCTAGAAGTAGATGGCTCAAGAATATGAATCTTTGTAAAGCTATGTGTGTACATATTACTTACATCTTTAGGGAAGGGAATAGGTGTGTTGGCTAACAAACCTCCATTTGAATGGTATACTTTTATGCCATCTAGCATTAGTCTTGATATTTTTGGGAACAGATTTAGTCTTCCTGGATATAGGTTTTGGTTTGGTCCCTATTTTTCTTTTATTCTGAATTTATTTTCTATGTTGGCAACCAAGTGCTAACTTAGTTAGGATTTCATTTCTCATTGTGATGCTTTCCAACATGTCCTTTTATTAAAAAATATATATATAAGGTTAGAGAATATAAAATATTTTTTTATGCAATATATTTAATTGTTTGTTTTAATATTTATGAGAAAAATTAAATGGAATTAAAATTACATATATATATATATATATATGTAATATTTTATTTAGGTTAATATAAATTCAATTGATTATTAAATTTAAATGTCTAAAAAAATTTGGAAGGACCAAAATTATAAATATACAAGTTGGTTAAAAAAATTACGGGGGCATGGCACCCTTACATGCCAATAAGCTCCTCCACTATTTATATTTAAGAGGGAAGGTGAGTGTAATTTAAGTATATGTAGTGGGGGGAATAAAGTTTACTCTTATTATTTTGTTATGCAGGTTGTAATTATAAATGTCTTTATATTAAGATTTCTTTCTTACATTTCTGGCATACGTATTTCTTTGAAGTTCCTCTTAGAGAAAGGAAGTTTTGAAAGCCTTGTTGGTCAAGAGGGCCGCTACCAGTTTCCTGACTTACTACATCATTCATCTGTATTTTGTGATAATTTTTCTAGTCTTTTGTTCTTCAAGAGTGGGGCCTCTGTGCTCATCCTTTTAACCTTGCAGCCCTTGAGAAACAGGATTTTGGCTATGTCACAATACACATTGTCCATCTTGCATTAAAAATAGTCAATTTGACCATGCAGCCCATCCACACTCTTGGTTCATTGATGTGCAAGCCTACCTTCTGAAGAATCCAAGTCATGTAATCCAGATTAGGGCTTCCCAAATGCTAAAAATTGATTTTGCACATCATAGCTAACACAAGAGACAAATATATATATATATATATATATATTACAATACATGGTAGTAAGAGTCATATATGTAGAGGCATAGTAAAGAACTTCAGAATAAAATACCATATTAACAGATATTCTCTTTTTCCCTCAGGCCTTCTTTGCAAAGCATCCCCAATATGCAAAGAATGACTTCTTCATTACAGGTGAATCATATGCTGGACACTATATTCCCGCTTTTGCAACACGGATCCATCGGGGAAACAAAGCTAAAGAAGGAATTCACATAAACCTGAAGGTTTGTTACATCACGTGATAAACCAATCTTTCTGTGACAAAATTGTATTGAATGGAAGGAATAATTTCCTATCTTATTATAGTAATCGTTTGTACAGGGATTTGCCATTGGTAATGGACTTACTAACCCTGCAATTCAGTATAAAGCCTACCCAGATTATGCATTGGAAATGGGCATCATTAAGAAGGCTACACGAAACCGCCTTAACAACCTACTGGTTCCAGCCTGTGAATTGGCGATAAAGCTATGTGGTAATGTGCATTTTATTGTCACGTTCGAATATTTGGAATGAGGGCTATGATGGATTGAATAGTCAAGCAACCAAATGTTTGAATTTGTTTGATTGATTTTTCAGGTTCAAGTTCAACTATACAAATAATTTCCAGTATGAAACATTATTTTTGACATCTAGATGTCCTGGATTTATTATATCCTATGATAATCTCTAGTAGACTATCTAAACTTTTAAGATTGTGTAAATTATGGCGGTTTTGGTAAGGAAGTAGATTTCCCCATTTAGTACTACAAGACGTGGGAGAGATTAGACAACATTTATATTGAATGGAACAGAAGAACCATATCTGGTTTTTCATCAGGAGTAATGATAGGAGCTGAGAGTTTGGGGCAGTTATGATAATTACTGGTAGAAAGTAGGAGCGTATTTTTCTTTTATCAAAACATGTGTAATAATAACTGTCATTAAGCAGTTATGAAAGTTATTGGGTAGAAAGTAGGAGCATTAACTTATCATCAAATACGTGTGATATTAGTTGTTAGTTAGCAAGTAGCAGATATGTATTATTATAACTTGTTCAATAGTAACTGTCACGTTGAGAGTTAGGGTAGAAATTTAAAAGCAGTTACATATTTATAAATTTTTGTGTAATTGGGGAATAAAGATAGATGTGTTGTTTGTTTTCTAGTAATTTGGACAAAGAAGTCATCTTTGTAGGAGTCTATGACTCTAGGACAGGAAATTCTGTTGTACTGTGTGGGATTTAATAATACAGGTCTCCAATATATAAATTGGGCGCTGTATCAGTGAGAAAGTCCTATTTTGACTATTTTCCGTATTATGCATTTAAACCACATAGACATACATGTGTGTATTCCGTGTACATTAACTATTATTTTTTGATATATAATTATCATAAATTTTACTACACAATTTGCTATTTCTAACTTATTTGAAAGTTTTATGAAATCCACCAACAAATTTAGATATGAAAGCATATGATAAGAGTTTGTTGATTTCTAGCCATCATGTATAAACTTTGTATTTATTGTCCTGATCAAATTATCATTTTCACAGGCAGTGAAAGTCAAGATCACTGCCTGATTTTCACTGGAAACAAGTGCTTTCACTTGTTTGGAGCCTTCTGGTTTGCTTTTGTTACCTTCTTAATATTTGTTTTAATCCTTTCAGGAACTAATGGAAAAACTTCCTGTGTGGCTGCATATGTAGCTTGTAATCTCATATTCAGTGACATCATGTTACATGCCGGAGATACAAATGTGGGTAAACAAATTTTTCTTGTGTGGTTGACATGTCAACTGACTTTATCACGTTTAGTTAAATTGATTTATTTCCCTAACTACTAGTAGGCAAGTATATATAATTAACCATGTTCCAAATAAAAAATCTTTCTTATAAACACCTCTAATTGTATCTTAGTTGAGAGGATATTTTAGTTGAGTAATTTCATAAAATATATAAAGAAAGCCATTTATGCTACTAACATGTCAGAAAGAAACTTGTATCCTGAAATTTATGATCATTTCAATCTCGAAGCAATGTATCAGTATATTCATAATTTTTACCAGCAACTAATATACTTATGCTGCAGTACTATGACATCAGAAAAAAGTGTGAGGGGAGCCTTTGCTATGATTTTTCAAACATGGAGAAGTTACTCAACCAAAAATCTGTTAGGGATTCACTAGGGGTTGGGAAAATTCATTTTGTTTCTTGTAGCACTGAAGTTTATCTGGCTATGTTGGTGGATTGGATGAGGAATCTTGAAGTTGGTATTCCTGCCCTTCTTGAGGATGGAATCAATTTGCTTATTTACGCTGGGGAATATGATCTAATCTGCAACTGGCTTGGTACGTATTTACTCTTGTCAAGACAAAGAATTGATGGACCTTGCAATGAATTTAAGATCTTAGAAATTTAATATTTCATAACCTTGCAATGAATGAATTGATGAACCTCTTCTTGGTAATGAGTAGGTAATTCAAGATGGGTTCATGCCATGGAATGGTCTGGTAAGAGAGAATTTACAACCTCACTTGAAGTTCCTTTTGTTGTTGATGGATCAGAAGCCGGATTATTGAAGAGCTATGGACCTCTAAGTTTCCTTAAGGTCTTCTTTTCTCTCTTCACCTACATAAGCTTATTGACACTTGCACTATGAAAAGTATCAATAGCATCCTGAATAGCCCATACTCTACATCTAACATAAGCGGGAAAATTATAGATTACCTTCTTTAACATCGTATTCTGTGTGAGATATACCCCAAATCTTCTAAAATGTACTATACTCAGCTGTCCTAATTAACCCAAATTTAACTTTATACACAAATCAAGGGTGATAAATGTAGAAAAGAAAGCTAGTGCTTTCAATGATAATAATTCGGACATATTGTTGAAATTAAGGGCACATTACTCTAATGAATAGCCATTTTGTGCGGGCTAATTCAACTCCTTTCTGCCATGGTAAAATTTAAATTAGTGATTGTGCAGTGCTAACACCAAACTTTATCAAGTTGACACTGCCCAGAAATACACATTCCATTTATTTACTAAATTCCTTTTTGATTTCGCGCATGATCAGTGAAAATATTTATTCAGTTCAATATTTTCTGTATCTAAAACAGGTCCATGATGCGGGCCACATGGTTCCAATGGACCAACCCAAGGCTGCATTAGAGATGCTAAAGAAATGGACTAATGGAACCCTTGCTGAATCTGGACCTCATAAGGAAAAATTGGTTGCTGAGATGTGATCTGATTACTTAATAAGTCTTTTGCATAAGGGAACATAAATAGAAAAGCATGCAGTGAGGTTGCGGAATGTTATGCATGTCTCAAACTTGCACAATTTCAAAGTGACAGCGTACTAGCTTTTGTCATGGAATTAAACTACTATTCTGAAGGAATTCCGATTTGCTGCTTTAGGTGCTTATTTTGGTTTTTATTTGAGTTTTTTCTAATATATTATTTATAAGAATGAGTCGATTTTGGTGTGTATCTTCTAGGAATTATGTGTAATTTAAATTGTTGGTTAAATTATTGATTTTTTTATTTGTTAAAAATAAAAATTCATTTTACAAAAATTCATATTAATTTCTAAAACACATTTTATAATTTTTATATAGTATAATATTTTTTCTTTATTAAATATTAAGGAGTAAATATAATATCATACAACTATTTTATTTAAATAAAGAAATATATGTTACTTTGTTTTGTATAGTAATCGAAAACAAATAGTTTGTTCTGCTGTTTTAAAATACAGTTACGAGCATCTTCCGTAAATAATTACATTCATGTTTTCTTTCTATAAAGAAAAAAAAATTGTTTATTTACTCTCCCTATGTATATTCTTTATGTGTTTACTAACTCCCTAACACTTTTTATTATATTTAAAACAGGGATACATAAAAAAAAAGAAAAATATATTTTTCGAAAAGCTAATAAAATCAAAACTTTTTATTAATTAAAATATACTTATATATTGTCCATATATTTTCTCACTTTTCGTTTGTATAATTTTTTTTTCAATTATTAAAGTGAGAACTAGGTTGTTGTTCAATTTATTTCCTTTTTTCTGCTTTTTTTATTTTTTTATTTTTAAAATAGCCTACTTTTAAAGAACCAATCTATAAAAACACAAGAGGTATGGATATTATTTCTCACCTACTTTTTGGTACATATTAAAGAAAAATTAAATAATTCAAACAATTAAAAATATTAAAATGTTAAAATTAAAGAATAAATAAATATATATTAGAGAAAATTTGAATAAATAAATAATATTAAAATCTCTCTCTCTCTCTCTCTCTCTCTCTCTCTATATATATATATATATATATATATATATTAAAAAATTAAACAATTCAATTAATTACATCTCTTTATTTAAGACTTTAATTAAAACAAAAGATTAGAAAAATGATTTAAAAATAAAAAAGAATATTTATTTTTTTAAGTAGAAAATGAAAATTCTGTATTAAAACAATTTCAAAACATAATTAACAATCCGCATATTGATCAATTGATTGTTTTCCATGAATAATAAATAGATATGTTTTGATATGTAAAAAAGAAGAAGACATAATTATTAAAAAAAACGCGAAAATAATTATTTCATTCTTTAAAACAGCTTGAATGATGTCAAAAAACGAAAAAAATAAAATAAAAGTACGTAACAAGGGCAAGTTAAAGTGAATGGTGTTGTTGATGTTGTGAGTAGAAGAGATAGAAGTGGTGAAGGAGATGATGAAGATCATAATGATATATCCGTCCAAATCACTTGGAACCGCATCTTCTTTATTATTTATTTCCTTTTATTATAATTAGGTGGTGGTTTGGACCAATAACTGTTGTAGTTGTAGACATAATTATATATAAGGAACACATAATTATGTCATATCATAGTCTGGATGGATCAGGGTTTATCAATATTTTTTTATATATATTTTTGTAAATATGTATTTAATTATATGAATAATTTTAAAATTTATATTTATTAATTATTATTTTTATTAAATAAATTAAAAAATTATTATATTTATATATTAAAATAATTAATTATAATAATAATTTAAATTTAAGTAATTAATTTTTATAACTTAAATTATAATATTATAATATACTTATATATTTTACTAATATAACACATAAAAATATAATATTTTTTATTTTAACTTTAATATATAAATAATTTTTTTAAATATCAGTTCATTACCAATTTTTAGACAAGTTAGTGAATCTATTAATCAGATTTAATCTGTTTTATCATGTTTATCATTAAAGGATTAATAATATAACTCATAACAAATTATGTTTTAAATACAAATAAAAACTTTTAAGATACTTATCGTATTTTCTTAATTGTCTTTCAAATTAGAATCCTTTTCTTTTTCTTTCACTTCGTCTTAATCTTTCTCTCATCCAAATATTCGTTAAAATAATTTGAAGTGAGATATTCAAATAAATTAATAATTATTTCAAATAATTTTTATGAGAGAAATCTCATTTGACATGATAAGATGTTTTAAGTTTTTTGATAATTATATCATTAAAAAACATAAAAATAAATAAAATAAATAATAAGTTCTTTAAAATTTATTAAGTTATATTAAAATAAAATCAATAATAAATTACTTAAAAAAATGTGACAAAACAAAATTTATATTTTATTTATTTTTAAATTATGAATTATTTTTATTAAAGATGTTGTTAATGATTTTATTATCACGTGACATTTTATCTATTTATCATAAATTAAAAATAAAAATATATTATATTATTATTTTGATTTAAGAAATTAAGATGGAGATATTACTAATTTATTTTTTTTAATATATTTTTATTTTCTATATATAATATAAAATAGATAAATAAAAATATTATAGAGAGAAATTTAATATGATGTATCAAAATACATATTCAAGTGTTGACACTGAGAGGGAATGGTTAATCTTGAATGATTTGAACGTCGGTGATGAAACATTGAGAAATTGATAACGATACGCTACTTTAATTTAACTTTACAGAAACGTAACGATATCTTTTTCAAAACAATTAATTCGAAATATATTTTTTAAATATTCAATTTATAAATATATTTTAGATTAAATACAATTTTTTTAATTATATTTTTCAAAATTTTAAAATATAAAAATTTTAGTTTCATGGGTTATATTGAAAATTTTAGTTTAATCAAACAGTAAGTTTTTCAATATTTGATAATTCAAATATTTCTTAAATATGTTTTTGGTACCGAATAAATTAGGAACTTTTGTTTTTAGGTTCATAATATATACTTCTTAATTTTCCAGTTTTTTATTTCGTTTTTAGTTTTGAAAGCACTATCGAAATCACTTTATTCGACTGTTCAAAACACTATTTCTACAAATTCTGAGGCCATTAAAAATTTATAAAAAAAATATATTAGGGACTAAACAAAATTTGATAATTTATTAGAGATCATACACTCTTTTTTAATTTAAAATATAATATGGAAAATCAAAGTCGTTAAATTCTAAATTTAATGTTTAAAAATAGGAAGATACAATCTTAGAAGCCCCTTACAATTCTCACTACCAATTCACAAAACAAAAAAAATCATTGAAGAAACAGAATAAGAAAATCAACATTCACACACACAAAGATGTGAAACCCTAATTATTTATCATTCAGTAGAGTTTCTGGTTTAGGAAGAAGCCCTTTTTCTTTGCATGTATCAATTGCTTCAGTGTACATGTCCTCGAAGCTGTATTTGAATTGGAATCCCAAGTCTGTGATTTTCTTGGAAGATAATCTCACCAGCTCCAATTCATCTGGAATGTTCTCAAACCTAAAAATCCAACGTGTACAATATGATTTTAAATCCATAAAGTTAACTTCTTTTTCATAAAACTACGATATTTAAATCGGATTCTCAACTCACCCATCATCTAGATCTAAATCGAATTCAGAAATGTATGATATTTAATTTGGTCAGAGACATACTTGGTGGGAACCTTGTATTCTGGGTACTTTTGGTTGATGAATCTTGAAATGTCATGGATAGTAACGTCACATGCATTGCATATGTATCTCCCTTCTGCTTTTGGTTCTTCGAACAGAAATATGTGAGCAAGACAAATATCTTCTACATGCACGAATTGACCTTGTCTTATGATCGAATAATGAGCCTCGTTTCCTGTAATTTTTTCACCACCAGTTTCAGTATTCAGATATCATCAATATATCTTTAAAGAAACGTGTTGTATCTAAGTGTTGTGTTATTTTCGTTGAATACAATCTTAAAAAAACACACTTTATATTGTTGGTATAGGATGATCACAAACTGTCATAACATAACATAATATAAAAGTAATGCAAAAAGACTGATAAGAAATACTGCAACAATTATTTTAAGAATTAATGTGTTTGAAAAATGCTGTAAATTTACTTGTGATAGGAGAAAGAGCAGTGACAAGGCTAGATGGTATTGTTGGAAGTAGAAAGGGGCCAACAACGAGAGTTGGAAGGATAGTGATGAAGTCCATTCCTTTCTCTTTTGCTAATTTCCATGCTTCTTGTTCTGCCAGAGTTTTAGAAACGAAATACATCTACAAGTTCCAACCACATGAAACACAAAAAATCATTATTTTCTCATGGCACATAAAAAATTCATTGTGAATTGCATGTGAAGATATTAATGATTTTCATATTCTTTTTCTTTATCTTTATCTTTGTTTCACATTATTTATTTATCCTCTCTATTTCCTATCTCTCTCCCATTTATATGAAATATTTATTAACATCTCTCTCATTGGTTCTCATGGTTGTTTTTCACCTTTTATTTCGAGGATTAAGATGGACATAGGTCTAATGGGTTAATGGGAATTGAATGAAATGTTCTAGCATAAACAGAACTAAACCTCTAAAAACAACATAAAGTTGAAACTTGGTGATTTGGAATATGAAAATTGGATAGTGAAAGAGAAAAATGAAGGTGTGAAATGAGATGAAGTACTAACCCAACCAGTCATCTTTATTCTTCTGCATAACTCAACATCAGTCCAGCAGGTCTCATCATACAAAGGCTTTTGATGTTCAGTAATGTACGTAGTTATGGCTGAGGATGTGAATATTAGCCTTCTCACACTTTTTTCCTTCAAGCATGCTTTCATGATATCTATTACTCCCCGTATTGCAGGCTTTATCACTTCATTCTGCACTTCCAAACCAAATTCTAATTAAGATTCAACCTTCCTTCATAAATTCCTTTTGGATCACAAAATGTTATTCTGAACTTATTAAACTTCTCATTAATGATAACAAATTCACAACTACGTCTAGGAACGAGTATCGCTTCACTCTCTTACTGGGTTTATTTCTTGATACGCTTGCTAATCTCACGTTATTTAAGAATTTAGTTAAACATCCTCGTGTTTCAATTAGACTTTTTGAAGAATAAGATTGTACCCTAAGTGAACAATATCTCAAATTCAAAAGAACAGACACTAACATAATATTACAAACAATCTCGTTCGAAACAAACAGGTGATAAGTGGATAAGGAAGAAAAGGAAAATGTGAATGGATGAGTACCTCAGGGTCTTTGGACTGAAAGTCAATGGGGGTGGCCAAGTGGAAAACTCCAGAGCACCCTTTAATGGCTTCATCAAAGCTTCCCTCTTCTGCAAGGTCAGCCTTCCACAGTGACAGCTTGCTCTTTGCACCCGGTATGTCCAGCAAATGCTTCACCTCCTTCATATTATCTGCAGAAAATTTATAAGATTGATTTAAATATATTATTATCAATATATTATTAATAAATAATAAATAAATATAAAAATATAAAAAATAAGAAATTAAATTTATAAATATATAAATAAATATATATAATAATCATTAAATTTAAGTTACTAAAATTATGAATATTAATATAAAATTATAAATCTTTAGAATAGTTAAATTTGATGGTGAAAATCATATTATAAAATCTTAATAACGAGAACCCACACCTCCAAATAGTTACTTACTCCACTGTGTTTGTTGTCAAAGTATACCTACAACTACCAGAGCCAAAAGAGTTTTTAAATTATAAGTTATACCTCCATAATGGTCAAAAGTTGACAAAATTAACATCATAAATAAAGTAACAGATTCGAACTACATTTTAGGATCCTCGGATAAAAGTACAAACTTAAGACCAAAATGAAACCATAAATTCAAATGAGTTAAAAAAAAATATATATATTTTAGGCTATCATATATGATGTTGGAAGATGGAAAAGTTGACGTGAGAATCTGAAAAGAATCCAACCTGGGTTTAATACGGTAGCTCGAACCGTGTAGCCACGCTCAATGAGTCTCATGACAAGCCAGGATCCGATGAAACCAGAAGCCCCAGTAACGCAAACGGTTCGAGATTCTGAACCCATTTCTGAACTTCCCAAGAGCTCGAACGGAACCTTCCCTCTCTAAATGTTGGAGCTGACTTGGAAAAGCAATGGAAGACATGGTGGTGTGTGGGAACGTTTTATAGAAGCTGTCTTTTTTACAGGCCTGCAAGTGATATTGACTTTTTACCTACCCTGAATAAATTATTCAAATGACTTGCATGTGAATGAATCATCTATCATATAAAGATTGATGGGTGCTGTGCTGTGGATCTTTTACCTTTGGAAAATTTCGTTGTGTGCTGTTGATTCATCTTTCGTTGTTATACGTTGAAAATTATTTCAAGTTTTTCGAAGATCTTGAGGTTGGAAAAGTATGGTTTGGTGTGTGTGCTTTGTAAGAAGTAAGCATGTGGAGATACATTCACCAGAACATTGGTCAACCCTCTTCATCCTTCACCCACTCAAACAAATCACTTTCTGAAAGAGAAAATTATTAGAGTTTGTAATCTTCTACCCAACAATTATTTGATTCTGATACATAATTGACTATATTTATATTCAACCAGTGGACTCTGAATAATTAAATAAACAATAACAATTAATTTATACAACTACATGCCGAATTCAACAAACGTAATTGACTATATTTAACAAGTTGAGTTTAAAATAGTTTATGTCTATAGTGCCGTGCATGCTGCCATCAACTTAGGAAAAAAAAAAAACATTTTCATAACTAACGTGAAAGGCACCAAATCAAAGGTTGTGTTAGCTACTAATATTATTAATAAATAATAAATAAATATAAAAGGAAGAAAAAATATAAAAGTTTGAAAAGATAAAATTATAAATATATACTTAAATATATTAAATGATCAAAATTATAAATTATATGAGAGTTACAAAACTAAGGAGAGACTAAAAAGATAAAATTGTAAATATACAAGTAAATATATTAAATATTCGAATTATAAAATTTTTGGGTCCCACAACTCCCAACAAAATAGGTGTTAGTGGTGTAAATGAATATGAAGTCACCATTGGAAGAGGAGGAGGAGATGAGTCTTAGAGGAAAGAGTAGTTGGTGTCGCATAAAATATATAAATAAGATAACTGGTGTTTTTCATTAAGTTTATTATTAAGAGTAGAACTTCATAATATTAGGTTTTATTTATTTGGATATATATATATATATATATATATATATATATATATATTATAAGTCTCTTCTTATTTAAAAGTCCATGTTAAGAATGATTTATAAATATTTTTTCTTTTAATTTATCAAACACCTACACACTAGAATTTTAAGAAAAATGATAAACCCTAACTATGTTATTGAGATAGTCTTGTTGCGAAACAAATATAAAACATTAATATTAAGGTATAAGGTAATTGTTTGGATTATGTTTCTTCTTTAGTACTCACACCATTGGGAAGAAGGGGTGCATCAAGAAATTATGAGAAGGAGGAAAGTAACCTAATTTTTTTTGTCATCTATTTAGAATATGAATTGGGCTGACCGACCCAATTTTTCACTTGATGTCGGGGGCGGGTAACTGTTTTCCCGGGTCAAGATAGTACGGGTATAAATACTAGTTAAACAAAAACCAAATAATGAAGGCAGTGAGAGAGTTCGGTTCTATTCTAAGACCCAACATGGATCGAAGGAAAAATTCCGGAGAGGTTGCTGTGGCGACGGTGTTAACTCTCCAGACGAAAAGGTGAGGGATGGTTTTCTCTTCTGCTTCGTCATAAGATCCGGTGTTGAATGTGGTGGTAGCTGTGTAGATTCAGGTTCATTCTTCTTCATCATCAATCATTGTGCATTTTTTCAATTTCAAATGACCAAAGTCCCTTTTTTCTTTCATGGGTCTTTTTTTATTTATTTATTTTATTTTTTATTACTATTATGTAACTCATTTGGGTGTCTGTTTCGTTTTCCTCAACTAGATAGGAATTAAATCAATCTGACTTTTGTTGCGAATAAAGGGTTCGCATGATTTATAAGTCCTAAAATGCTGCCAAAACTTAACGTTCTCTTCAACTCAATTTTTGGTTTCGTAATCAGGAAAACATCTACGGTTTGGCTTCCAACTCGGCTTTCTGTTTTTGTTTTTTGATCGGTTATATCGGTGATATTATTAACATGGTCCGTTTAATATTTACATGGCTCTTAATCAATTGTTAATAATTATTTCTTGTAAATTGTCAAATTTGAATGTGTTATATAAATATTGGTTAATACCATGGACTGATGGCCATCCAAAACCACCTAGTTTTGAATTTAAGGTTTGAGAGTGATATTCTATGGTCATATTTGTTACAGTTTTGAATGCGTTAGTTATATAGGTTTCTTTGAGGGAGTTTTTTGGCCGCTGAATGTGGGATAGGCTGTGTTTCTCTGTTTTGAAGGATGTATTTTCCTGGTTTCTTAAAGAAATAGACTTTTTCTAAATAACAAATTTGAAACATGGAACGAACCTGTTATGATTTGATTGCGCATTTATTTGCTAGACAATGATATGTAAGAGAATCAGTGTCACAACAATTTCAATAGTTTGAATCGATGATGGCTTTATGGTGATTAGGTTGTTGATTGGATTGTTATAGTGTGGCACAATATATGGTGTAGTTGGGTGAGGGAAGCCTTTTGTTACATACCATGGCTTGAGATGCTTGTTGACAATGCTAAGTTGTGTAGCTGTTTTTGAGGTTGGCTTGGTTGCTGTCATGATTAGGAATAAGTGTGTCGGTACATAAGCTGGGTTTACATCTTGGGTAAGTGAGGTTCGGTGATGGTTTTGTTATAGTGAAGAGATGAATTTGGTGATTACTGCTAAGTGTTTAACCTCAAACAGTTGCCTTCCATTGCATCATTACAAACGAGTCGCCAAACAGCAGTACCTAATCCTAACGATCAAAACAAGCAGTCTAAGACAAAAAAGGGGAATTGAAAGGACAAATGGATAGAGTGTTTGGAAGGAAACAACATCCAGAGTTTCTATCATCTCATTACCAATTTACCATCTAGACGTTCTTCTGACCCATAACCTTCACCCTAAACCTATTTCACTGAATACTGTATGTGGTGTCTCTATTATCATCCCTTATAAGCAAATTTAACCCTTGCTCCCATGAATTTAGCTCGTATATCATTTGTTTTCTGCAAGGACAAGGTGGGTAAGCTTAGAAAGCAAATTACTCTTGCTCTTGCAGAATCCATAGCCATTGAATCTTGAGTTAGAGATACACGTGGAAATAAAGAAAGTAGATGAATCCAAATGACCATTTTGTTTTAATTGAAAACATTAGATTTCAACATTAAGTTTGATTAAATATTAGGGGGTTAGCTGTGAAAGGCCTATATTACTGGGGAACGTGTATTTTTCCCCTATTGATTTTTATTTCTGCTTGTCAATTACATCTTGGGAGTTTAATGCCCTTTCAATGTTTCATTTTTTGCAGGAACTAGTAAGATCAACACCAATGATCTGTTACTAGTGAAAAGGCCTTAAAACTATTATCCGGACATTTGCAAGGTATGCTATAATAGTTTTGAAATTCATGATTATTTATTCTTTGTTCCTTGGACCACCTCACATTGTAAAGTTCATAGAAAATTTTGAGTATATTTATGTGGAGAAATGCATTGTTTGCCATGGACTGGTCTTGGTAGACAAAATAAGATTTATAAATTAGAGGTTAATTTAATTTTGCTATGGGATAAATTTTTTCATATTTATATATTTGATATATATTGTCAAACAATACAAACTCAACCGTCTTTCTTTCTAGACAGATTCTATGTTCAGAAACCCTCCCAAGTATCCCACCATGGGAAAGTGGATTCCCACGTAAATGTAGGGTTCATAATTTTCCCCTCTTCTCTTTATCTTTTTTTGTTTTTCCTCATATGTCCTTGTCCCCTTCTCCCAATCACATATCTCTGTCATCCTTCTCAGCCTTGTAATGCTCATCCTAAACCACCCCAATACATTCAAAACTACCAACATTTTAATTGCATGATTTCATCAATCTATTAAAAATAAGATGCTCACTAACCGAATACTTCTCCTAGATGTCAAATGCATACCTCCCCTTTTCACATGTTTATACAGTACAAGACATTATAAAGTGTAAGAGGAAGAATTGATAAGAGGGTATTGTGGTGATTGTTGACGGCAAGGGGGCTGAAATATATTTGAGTGGGATCACACCCATGGTGCCAATGAAACTCTGGCACACAGACTTGGGGTTTTTGATCTGTTTCTGTCCCTTTAGTTGTGGTAGTTTTCTTCATTTTTGTTTGTACCTCTCTCATTTGGATCATGTGTAGGAGTAGGGAAGGTTGGATATCCATGTGGTGGCATTCCAACATAAAACCAATTGGCTATATGTGGAGTAGCCTAATATGTATTTAAACCATACCAAATGATATGAGGTAGGCGATGTGAGACTTTTAACACGCTCCCTCTAACGAAGCCTGCCGGACCAGGCAAACGGGTATTTTTGACCCAACTAAAGGGCAACTTTTTGCCCATGACAATAACCGGAAAGATGTTAGGCTTTGGCACTGATACCATGTTAAGGTTCCAACATAAAACCAATTGACTATATGTGTAGTAGTCTAACATGTATTTAAATCATACCAAATGATATGAGGTAGGCAATGTGGGACTTTCAACAGTATGTATGGTTGGTGGAGGGATGAGAATGGAAATACAGAAGACGAATTTAATTTAGTTTGTTTTTGGTAGAAAACAAGTAGGGAGAGAGAATTAAAATGTTAGTGGGTCCTACTAGTACTTTTCTACTTTTATTTTTCATTTTTTTCTACTCTTCTCTTTGTCTCTCTCCTCTTCAGCAAAGAATCTTTTAACTCCATATTATTTATCACCTATTTTCACTTATCATTTTCATTTCCATTCACCCTGTTTCTCTCCTCTTTACCAAACATGGCATTGAAGTTGATGCTTTGAGGGTTTGGGGTGTGAATGTGTGTACTGTTGGAGGTGATGCTGTGTTGATGCAATGAACATTCTAAGGAGTGGTGATAAACACGTGGGGGAAGAGTTAAAGTACCTTCCTTGGGGTTGTTTCCTATGAGAATCAAAAGCAACGTTTTAGGTGAACTGAAGAGGAGTTGAAGAAGATCCAATCAGTTTCGGGACCTTCATTAATTTATTTTTAAACAGACAAACCAAATCAATTAAATTGATATGAAGTTAGATAATTGAGTTTATTAAAATAAAATAAATGAAAAAACCAGAATTTTCTCTTAATTTAGTTCAGATTGTTTGGGTCATTGTGTTGACATGTACCCATCCCCATTCTTAGACTAAAAAAGTACAAGTTTGGATTGGATATTCTTGTTTTTCATGTGCGCATACCTGATCTTCAAAACAATAATTTTAAGTTTACAATTATAAAAGTTCAATCCAATTCAGAATTTCCTTTCAAAATTAGGTTTAATTGTTCAAGTCATTAGGTCAACCCCAACACATGACCACCCGTAGTTGTTTTGTAATGTTCTTTCAAATGACAAGTTAACTTTCTTTACATGCATGTGAAACTCCTTTGTAGCATACTTGCTCATAAATTGGGCCATGGCACTTTGGTCCCTAAACCTTAAGTTCCACTTTGATTGGAAGTGGCATTCTCACACCAAATTATTTAAAGTTCATTCTCAAACTTCTAAAGAAAGATTGAGAAAAATACTTTTCATAAAAACTTGCATTTGTTGTGTATTACGTAGTCACCCTCCCCAATAACTAAAGTAAAATATGTTCCACTGTGTACCTCAATAGGATCTTTGTGAGATGCAAACAAAACATGTTTCTGTTAAGAATATTTTTATTACTTTTTTTTAATGTAATTCGGGAGATGAACTTAACAAAAATGGATGTAAGAATAACAAAGCTCCTTTGTGATTACTTTACCAGCCTACGGTCCAACAAACCTCAAGAAAGGCTCCCTTCTTATTTCCCCCAAATTAAGGATAAAGCCTTGGTGTTGTTCTCCCTTCTTATTTCCCCCAAATTAAGGATAAAGCCTTGGTGTTGTTCTCAAATAAAATTTGAGATTCACCCAGATAACATGCTATGATATTTAATGAAATTCTTTATTATGCATATTACCAAAAAGGAATTTCAATTCTGAATAAAAATACCGACAAACAACATCATCTATAGTACTGTATATAAGTTTTATCTTCTCGGTAATGTCTCAATCCCTGCATTATTTACAGTAATTATATTTGCTTGATTCTCTTGAATTTGTGTCATAAAATTCTCCACCCTTATCTCCAAACAATAATTTTAACATATTTATTTATAGGCGTGATTTTTTGCAGACTCGAAGAAGTAAAAAAATCACAAGTTGCGACAACATTAACAATAACACACAAATAAATTGTGGCAAAAGGCAACATATTATTCAAGAGCAAAATAGAGTGTGTTTTGACTTTGATGGCCCTCGATGCATCAACCTTTGAAACTTTAACCCCTTCTCGCTTCATTTCCTTCACAATACCCCATCCATCATGTTCCAATTCACCCCTCCGAGTTGCCGTGCTAGACTCACTGCACCAACCCAATGAATTGCCTCAAGTTGGTGCCATGTTGGTCCCTGAAGGTCGAGAAGTCGATTGGATCTTCTCCACTGAATTGGGTCATCTCCAACTCCTCTTTAGTACCCCTGAAATATCACGTTTGATTCTCATTGGAAACAACTTCAACGAAGGTACTGTACCTTTTCCTCCACGTGTTTATCACCGCCCCTTCAACTGTTCATTGCACCTACAGGGTTTTGAGGTTTGGTCAAAGCCTCTTCTTTTGGCCCTTTCTCCCAAATCTTTGTTCAGAAAGGGCATTCCTGAGATACCCATTTTGATTTATGATGATAACTTGGTTTCTAGTATGGTGGTTCATCAATGTGTTGGGATGCATGTTGGTGAAATGTTGGTTGAGGATGTTGAAATTGAAAATGGCAGTGGGCTTTTGCATCGTGGGAGGGAGTTTAGGAGGAGGTTGAGGTTCAAGAGGATGCCTAATTTAATTCAGACTGAAATCTGTATTGTTCCAGAAAAAGATGATAGTGATGGTTTGGATGATGTTCTCATTGGTGGTGATGTGGGGTTTGTGCCTGATCTTAAGGTTTTGGTGCACCCTTACTTGGGGCCTATGGTGGCTGGTCTTGTGTTGAATAGTGAATATGTAGAGGGGAGGATTCAGAATGGGTTTAGACCGAAGGCTTTGTGCCTTGGGGTTGGAGGTGGGGCTTTGGTATCCTTTTTAAGAACTCAATTGGGTTTTGAGGTCATGGGTGTGGATAGTGATAGTGAGGTTTTGAGGATGGGAAGGGAGTATTTTGGATTGGAAGAATGTGAGTTTGTTCATGTAGTTGTTGGGGATGCCTTTGAATCTTTGAAGAAGCTTGTTTGTCATGGAAATTTGCAGCATGATTGTGAGGTTAATGGTTTTAGGGGTCATTTGGTGGAAGATGAGGTCAATGGTAAATTTGAGGTTGTAATGGTTGATTTAGATTCAAGTGATATAAGGAATGGTGTAAGTTCTCCGCCATTGGAATTTGTTAGAAAGGATGTTCTTCTTGCTGCTAAACTGGTTCTTTGTGAGTTTGGAATTCTTGCTATCAATGTCATTTCTCCCTGCAGGTCCTTCTATGACAACTTAGTGAGTTCTTTTCAGGATGTTTTTCACGAGCTGTACAAGATAGATGTAGGGAATGGCGAAAATTTTGTTCTTGTTGCCACTGCATCACCTCTGGTGTTTTCAGCTGGGATTTGTGATAATTCTTTTCTTATGAGACTGAAATCAGTTATTCCAGAAGCATATTTGAACTCCATAACAAAGATATAATGTCTCACTTGTCGAGGAAAATAGCACTTTTTAAAAGATCATCATCATTCTCCTCTGCAATCTGCACTGTAAGACTCATAAGGTGCTTTTTCAGTAGTTTTGGTAGATCCAAAATCGAGAGTTTCTCTGATGCATCTTGCTCTGGATCTAATTGCTTTAGTAAGGTGCATATACTTTCTTAATTATTGCTCTGAAACTTTAGTGAATGTGAATTTGAGGAGGTTTAATGGCAGCTTATTCATATCTTTCTGGGTACTGAGGAGTTACATCAGCTTCCGGTTGCTAATAAGTATGAAAGGGTGATATCTGTGAACAATTTACAAATTTTGAAACAGTTAATAATAACAATTGATAGTTCTAAGGTTGCACTTACTATCTTGTCTACAATTCAAATCCCTTTTTTCTGTAATACATTACATTTTTTTTTTCCTTATGTAGTTGTGATTAAAACAAAGGAAATGCTTTTCCTGCATCCTATTTATTTTTCATTGTTTTTTTCGTAATAGTACAAAATTCCATATTCACTACAAGCTGATTTGTTAACTACTGCATGGACAATGGTATATCTAAGGTGCTCATAAGTGGCATCAAAGGTAACCTTGAATATGGTTTTGGCATCAGAGTTATGAATTAAATATAATAGTGCAAATAGTCACATCAATTTTGACAGCAAGATGAGTAAACTTTGAGCTTGTTCAACAATTTACTTAAGATTAAACAGATTGTGACTTTTGAGCATCTGTTTTCTAGCATCTTTTGTACAGTATACTACAACTTTCCTATCAAATAAAAATAATTACAAAGAAATGACTCTTGTTTTTTGGTTTCTGTCAAAGTCTTGCGCAATAATTCACAATTATGGTTGACACTACAATACAGTAATACATTGTTTACCGTGATACAATTGTTCTGATTTTGTTTCTTTCCTGGACTATGTCAGTGATGAACAATATTTTCTCTTTGGGAAGATGCATGGATTCTCCACTGTTGATGGTTTTGTGGAGATAAGCAACTGCTTGGCAGAGATGATTAAATACGTGGCTAATGAACCTTCTGCTGGTCTTTTCTTTATTCAACAACACACACAGAATGCAGTTCCCAATGTCATGAAACTTAAGAACAACGTTATTCACAAGAGTCGTGAAACAACTTTGCACACAGAAGACTTGGAGGACTCACTGACAATGGTGAGATCAATGAAAGAGTGTGGATTCCCCATAGCTCACGAGATGATTGGAGACATTAAAAAATCCCTTGTAACCATGACATCAAAGCAATCAACATCAAATTTTCAGAACAGAGCTAACTCTGCAGTATATGCCCAGGAGGGAAGTGAAATAAGGGGTAACTATTTTTCAAGTGTTTTTAACTTTTCAATACATAAGACTAAAAGTCTCAATTCGCCACCACTTGATTCTATGGGATTGGTAAATTCCAGCACTGAGGAGCTACATCTGTACCGCAGTGTGTCATTACCAGATGCATCGACGCAAGCTGACAAGAAGCCCCTATCAAGCCAGGTTGAAGATGAATCTCAACCTGAACCAAGTAATATTGGGGATAACTTGTTGTCACTATCAGAAAAATATGATGACTTCAAAGCAAGTAAAGAAGCTAAGCTGGAGGAGTGGCTTGAAGGAACAAGCAACAATGGGGACAATTGCCTACCAGGTGATGAGAAAAGGCTCTGAAAGAAATGAAAATCTTCAGAAAATTATGACTTCAAAGCAAGTAAACAAGCTTAGCTGGAGGAGTGGCTTGAAGGAACAAGAAATGAAAATTTGAAAGACTTTGAAATTATGATGACTTCAAAATTATGATGCCTACCAGATGATGGGAAAAGGCTCTAAAAGAAGTGATTTTTATGCAGCTTGTTTATCAGAAAATACTTAAGCGTGTATATAATTTGTGCAGTATCTGATAAATTGTCTCATTAGCTTGCAGTATAACACGATAAATGAATAGGTAATGCTGTCAAATGTACCTTGAACTAATGGGTTATTTCATTGTAAAGGGTGAATGATAAGATTCAGCACCAGACCTGAAAAAATGAGACGGGTCATTCCATGGTGTGACTACAAGATTGTCTTTTTATGCAACTCAACAATGAGACGGGTTATTTTAAATTTTGAATAGTTAATTTACGATGTAAAAGTTTCATCACGAATTAATTTTTTCGCAATAAAAGAGAGTATTTCCTCTTTAATTCTGGATTAGGTATTCTGGGATGTAGATTACACGTTCTGTTCTGAATCCTTTCTGCAACGAGAGTATAAACTGATATTTTAGTGCTTGAATACTATATTGCATTGCCGGTAATGTGGCTCATCTGGTAAGTACTTGTTACCTACTTGGAATCTGTATGGCAAATATTATATGGTTAACTTCTTGCTTAACTTGACTCTTAGGTTCATTTTTAAAATTTCTCGTAGTTTTTCGCGCAATTAAAGGAATCCATACTGCAATTAAGTAAAATATTTTATCATCGTTCTACATTATATAACACTCTTTCTTCACACATTCCGTAAAATTTTCGATACTAATTAATTTCGAAATGGAGTTTTGAGAATGTATTTTCTACATTATAGAAAGCTTCTTTCAGAATATATAGAAAATGGCCAAAAATTTTATGCTGTCCAGGGAAAAACACCAAGAGTTAAGCATCAAGTTTTAAATTTTAAAAACACAAGATAATAAAAGTAGTTTTAATTGACAACGACGAAAGAAATGTTTGTCAAAGCAGCTTGTAATGAATTGAGAGCTTCACCTTTACAAATACTTGTCATTCGTTAATTTGATGTAAGATGCGTTCATCAATTCTCTGTTTAACGATCCAACTTGATGCAATTAGCATTCCCTCGTGTAGGATATTTATTAAATTTAAGCAAAATAATATTGAACTTATGTTAATTTATAGTTTATTTTTCTTCCAAAATCTTAATCTGTGTTTTTCTTAGGAACAAAAACTTATTCTCAAATATTCCTAAATTAGTTAAACTTGTCTTTCCTAAGTATAGACTTAATCAAATTTAAACAAACGGAATCTTTTAGTGATAAAACAATATTATGCGCAACCAAAAGTAACATTTGTAACGATCACATTATTCAAACACTAACTTGAATTACGTAAATAGAAAATCATGGTACGCCAAGAAATAAATTCATTAATACTAACTGATGATGACGAGTTAGTTAGAGTTCAACAACTTTTACCACTTCATCCAAGTAAAAATAGGGATGAAAACAAAAGGAAATTTGTGTCATTCATTATATTATTCAATTTTATTTTAGTTTCAATACTAAAGTAATAACTTCAATATTCATTCTCGTATCTTGTATGTACCTAAGTATGCAAACTTAAAAAATTGGGATAGGGGGAATCCATGATAGGACAGTATCTACTAAATTTAAAGGGGACAATACGGCTTTCAGATCGTATAGAATGTTACAGCTTGCGGTTTCATGTCCTCATAAATCATACAACAGCCACAATGAGTACAAAACAAAATCTTTTATAAAATGGCTGACTTAAAAGGTGGCACTGAACCTGAGGAGAGACCAATCTCAATGCTGCCACTGCATTCACAAACTCATCCCTTGTGGGCAATGTTGCCCCAGCATTCACAAATTCATCCCTGGTTGCCAAGCATATCCAACTACTTCATGCATATCAGGCAAAAAGACCAAGGCAAGGCCTACGTTTCGTTCGGTGTGGATAAATGAGATATAATACATGCCAGGTTGCTGCATCATAGAGCCATCAGAACTTGAGGTAGTTACAAGAGGCCATCTCCACTTTATTGAACAAATGATTATTTGTAGATGATCCAGCCAAAACACCACAAATGGATACCATACTCACCGGAGACAGCTAGCACAAGGTTGATGTATGAAACTTTGGTACAGCTGGTCCCTTTTTCGTCAAAGGAGGTTGAGAAAAATGATACCTCTGAATCATGCAGCTGACGTTCTCCAACATTTGTCATCAGGATCTTGGATTTAGTTACAATAAATGATCTATTCATTTACATAATATATTTACTACTACTCTCCAACCTATACAAAATTACCCCGTGAAGCAGGCTCCCACCTACTGAAGCATAGGAAGAATAGATGTAAACAACCTGTGACTTCAAGGTTATAAGAAGCAACCTTACCTATGTGCAAGGCTGGCCAGTCACATTTTCTTATAAATTATCATTCACTAAAAATGCTAGAGAAGAAACCAAGAATCTAGGAAAGACACCTGACTATCCAAGTAGAGCAATTGAGGGAGAACAAGTTGAAGGGGCATCTTAGTCTTTCTGCAGTTTAATATGAAAAAGTTATTCTACTAGAAAAGTAAAATGATATATATTTGAAATTCTCATTGAATTGAACAGGATAGAAGAATGTTGGACTACTAGCTTCATTTCTTATTGCATAAAATAAAATAAATATTTAATAAAAGCAAAACTATCAAAATTCAGAGTTCTCAGCTGTCTCACCTCCTGGGTGAAAGACGACCATCCATTTATGGATTGCTCAAGTCATTTTGATTGCTCCCTAGAAATATTTAGGCAGTTAGTAATTCATACTAAAACTGCGTCACTACAAATACTAATGCCTGCCATAGTTATCAATTACATATGCCAGTCCATGGTGAAAAGCCAAAACAACATGTAAAATGGCGGACGACATTGTGGACAAATAGCATAAGCCCGGCATATACACAATGAATAATAAAAACAAAAAATAAGGATTCACGAAAATCAGCATCGATCTCTAATCTTAAAACATGCCAAACTGAAAGTCCAAGTTCTAATCATCAGGAATATATTGCTTTATCTATTGAAAAAATATAAATAATATTTCACAGCGAATTAAAGAATGTGAATTTTGAGAGAGGATAATCAGTATTAAAATTTTATAATTACCTGAAACAGTTACATCAGGAAGCACTAAATCTGTCATCTTAACCTCTTCTGATAATTTGGTGGCACTCCCCACATTTATGGACCCATTGCTTTTCCTCACCACTTTTGCCCGTCTGAGTTGACAAATATAATAAAGTTAAAAATTCACACCAATAGAATAATGATATTTGAGATTATATATATAAAGAAATTGAGTTCAAACCTGAATAAAATCATACCTGATTAACTTGCGCTTCATAATGCCTGCCTTCAGCTTTGATGACACCCCTGTTTATGAGAAGCAAAGAAAAGGTAACAGCTTGTTCGGTTTGTGAAAATATTTCCATTTTCCTTTTAAGATACAAATAACTACAGAAATGTTATATTGCTTTCACTTTACTTCCTGTTTTCAAAAGATATTTATAAAGCAATGATAAAAACAGCATTTCATAATGTATATCACTCACCTGGTTTAGGAGCCAAAGACGTTGAAACAGGTTTACGATTGCCCCTCTCACTTTTAATGGAATCAATAACAGAATCAGCATTTATCCCCAATCCTTTTCTTCCCACTAGTTTCACTCCAAGCTTTTCACAAAGGTAATTCAATCTCATTTCATCACCACCTCTTACCTCTCTTAGGTCAAGAACCTGTTGTCTTGTCAGTAATGTGTAAACATGAAGCTGCTGTTGTTGATTAAAATGTGACTGAAGCTGCTGAAAAAGTAATTTGTTTGAGTGTTGTTGGTCTTGTTTTGCAACTTCATGACATTTTTTTCTAGCCTCACCAAATGTTACCCTCAAGATTGCTGGTAACTTGGGGTCAGTATTCTTCTGAGCAAAAATGACAGAAAAGCTCCCAAATTCTATATCAGGTTCTCTAAATAAATCTGCAAGAAGGGAAGCACAAGAATGAGCATTTGAAGGGGCCTTGTCAACTTTCATCTTCAGTGTTCGAATATTAGCATGGTGCGCCATATTTGCAGCTTCTCTTAGACCACTTAGGAAAGCCCCATGCATAGTAGCAGGATAGCGCCTGGTGGTTGCTTCCCCAGCAAAGAAAAGTCTACCATCTCCCACACTTTCTGCTAAAATATCATAATCATCACCAGAAGCTCCAACTGCAACATTAGAGTAAGAACCAAAGCAGAAGGGATCACTACCCCATCTAGTACAGACAGTTTGGATAGGTTCAGGAACATTGATTCCTTTTGGTTCATAGATACCTGCAGACAAAGATAGAACATTTTTCTTCATAAATATTTACTAAGATAAAATAGTAATCAATATTAATAATTTAGGGCTAATATGGTTTGACTGAATCCAGCGGTAAAAACTTGTTCAGAATCATTTTAAATGAAAATTAAGTATGTCTGCTTAATTATAATAAGAAAGATTTACATATATTCTAAATAAAACTCATACCACAAGACAAATGTTAGGAAACCTATGAACTCATACAAACTACATAATAATGGATATGCAATTGCTTGTCTTCAAATTTAGTTTTCTTTGCTTATTTTGTACGGACACTCTAATCTAGTAATTATATTAGCAGAAGTATGATGTAGGTAGTAGCTTTCATATAAAGTGTACCCTTCAGAATTTGACGGACACTCTAATCTAGTAATTATATTAGCAGAAGTATGATGTAGGTAGTAGCTTTCATATAAAGTGTACCCTTCAGAATTTGAAGAACCCGTGTCACTGCGTCTGTAGGGGGCATGCTCTCAAACTTATGTGCAGCTTCCCCTGCTACTAAAGCAATCAACAGGGGACCACCAGCAACTGTTGCATAACTGTAAAACAAGAAAAATTCCCCACGACGGCTTGGATCATCAGAAAGATGCCCAAATGTATCAAGATCCATCTCCCAAAACACATGAGGAAAAAGCATGGCAACCTTATTCAGCAGACCAAACCCCAATCTTTTTATCCCATCAAGCTTCCTCTGAGGCAACTCTGGTATAAACTTGATAGACCCTTTCTTCAATACACCTAATGGAACAGTACACAATGCCATATCACCCTCAAACACCTGACTCCCCGCAATCACCTGCACTCCATCACCACTATACCTAATTGTATGCACAGTTTTCTCGTACAAAATTGGCACATTCTCTGTCAAAGCCTGAACCAGCTTCCCATTTCCTCCAGGCAAAAAACAGTGATCTCCCCCCATATCATACGGATCATCCTGGTCCCAAAACGCAAGCGAAAGATTTGACAACAACCCGGCATTGGCATACTCCAAATTTGCAAGATGCCAATTGAACAAATTTAACTCCTCATCACTCACCGCATCCTTAAAGACCTGCTGGAATGTCTCCAGTGCCGCCCCTAGCGACACATCCACCGAGACCTCCCCCATCAACTGCCTCAACCTACTCGCCTTGTCGAGCATGCGATTAAACGCAGACTCCACCTTCACATCCGTATCCGGATCAACTGGTCTTCCATCCACACAATAAAGAGGACACTTATCCCTCACCTTATGAAGAAACTCACCTAACTGCCTCCCCACAATCCCAAGGGGATTCCCCAACGTGCCTGTCAACACACTCCCTCCCAAATCCGCAGCAGCACACACCCTATTCCCTCCCTCCATCTTCTTCGTATAAACACGGCCGCCGGCGCGCTTCCGCCCTTCTAAAACCGTCACCTTGAACCCAAACCGCATGAGCTGCCGTGCCGCAGCCAGCCCGGCTAGCCCGGCGCCGACGATGATCACCGCCGGCTTGCTCACCTCCGCCGGAATCCTCTCCTTAATAGAAGAGGCCACTCCGAAATTGATGTAACCATGCGAGACAAGGTAATTATATGCGGAATCCAAAAGCGCGTGGTAATGTTGCGGAATGTAATCGAGGAAGGTTTTCTTACTCACCCAATTGGACACATTTTCGCGCCATTTTGCAATGATGTGATTCCGAATGAGAGTGTAGTTCACCTGCTCGATGCCACCGATGACCGGCAGCACGGAGGCGTCGATCTCCTCCTCCGTGAGTGAATCCGCCGGAAAACCGGCGGTGAGAGCGATTAGGGCTTCGGTTTTGGGTTCTTTGTTGATTACAATGATTTCGTCGGAGGCGGGAGTTCGGGACGAAGAGGGTGAGTCGGTGGGGAGAGTGAGAGGGAGGCGAAACGATGCCGGATTGCGCTGGGAGCGACCGCGACGGCGCTTCTTCGGGACGGAGAAAGAGAGGTAGTGGTTCAAGGTGGTGGGGTTCGGGTTCGGGTTCTGGCTCTGGTTCTGGAGGAGGTTTGGGATTGAATCGGCGGTTGGGTCCAGGAAAACGTTGGGGTTAGGGTTAGGGTTAGGGTTTTGGGTAGAGGAAAATTGGGGTGCGGGATCCATTAAACTGTGTCGTTTGATTTTTTTCAGTAATATGAAAGAAGAGCAATTTGGGTTTGGAGATTTAACAATCAGCTATCGGAATTCAGAAGCTTTGAAGCTTAGCATCCGTGCGCTGCCGCTGCCGGTGGCGTTCAGTTTGTTGCACCGATCACCGTCTGAGACAAGCTCGCCTAGGAATTTTTGGAATATTATTAAAATGTATTTTTTAAAAGTATAATTTTTAAAATAATAAATTTATTGTTCTTTTAGTCCCGTATTTAAAATTTAATATAGCTTTAATCTTAAAATGACTAAATTATATTTTTTTAAAATATAATAATGATGTTTCGTATCATACTGGATAGGGTGAATAAAAGAAAATAACTATTGAGCAATTGAAGTTAATGTTAGTCTTCATCTATCATTTAAAATTCTCATCACCTATGAGGCTATGAACCATACTAAAAAAAATCCAATTTATGAATAGGAACAAAAATGTCAGAAAAAAAAATTATAGTCTTAAAATTTAATATGAATTTATTTATATTTATACATAATTTTAAAAAAAAATTCATTTATTTATTATTCTTTCTCTTGGTATCTTCTTCATTTATTTCTCTAATTAAAATTATTATAGTGAAATTTAATGAAATTATATTAATATAAAATTTTGAAAAATTAGAACTAAAAAATATTAATTAATTATTAAAAATTATGATGACAATAAATAATTTTATTTATTATTATGATATAAATAATTAATTTTAAATAATTCTTTATCATAATAAATAATTATTTATTTAATTAAAAAATATCAAATATTTATAAATTAAATATATTTTTTATTTAATAGTTTAATATAGTTATAATTAAATTGAGTTATGATGATTAATCATATTAGTTAATTTAAAAATAATATTTACTAAAAAACCATCTTAAAATAAATATTTAATTTTAAAAAAATTATAACATAATTTATAATACCTTAAATTTATCATATGATATATTTTTTAAATATAATATATTAAATTATCATATTTTTTAATAATTTAAATATTATTATTTTTTAGAATAATAAAAAAACTATTTTTATCACATTTAATTTATTATTTTTAATTAAAAAAAGATGAGTAACATAAAAACAAAATATTGAAGAAAAAAACAAGTACATGATAAAGAAAAAAATAATAATAAGTAAATAAAAAAAAAGAAGAAAAATAAAAAAAATGAAAAAGAGAAAATAACTTTAAGAGAATTTATTTTCTATTATTGATTTTTTGTGTATAAATAGAGCTCGGAACAAATTTTTAAACTTTTTAGACGTTTAAGTTATTATATAGTGTAGTTTTATGCCAATTTAGTTTTGTAATTGGGTTATATGGGCCAGAACTGGGTCCATTCATTTTGCCATAGGAATACTACTATATAGGTGTAAAGAAAGTCAGAAATTGTGAGCGCAGGAGCTCATTTTTCAGATTTTACACTTATATGCAAAGTTGCTTCTCTAAATTCTCTCTTCTTTCCAAAATTACAATTAGGGATGGCAAATTGGGTCAGTCGCCCCATCTTTGAACCGCTAAAAAGGGGACTGGACGGATCTGACCGATATAGTCATAACGAGTTATAGATCTTGACCCGCCCGTCAAGGGGCGGGTTAGCAAATGATCCGTCATAATTTAGAAAAAAAAAATTTTAAATAATTTTTTTAATAAATTTAATAATAAAATTATTATTTGTTTATCAATAATTCAATATATATATATATATATATATATATATATATATTATTTCAATTTAATAATATAAATCAATACATTATTTTAAGAAATTATAATTTAGAACAATAATAAAATTTACATAATAATAAATAATAACAAATATATATATATATATATATATAAATAACATTAAACTTATAAAATTCATATTTTTTATATTGAAAAATTCAAATATCTATATCTTTTTTATTTGATAAAACTTCATATTATTCTTGATTGAGTAATTCTTACACCATTAATTCAAGTAATAAGGATAAAAATAATCGATGCTTAGGATAAACAAGGAGAATAGGAGAGAAAGTTATGTTTCGGGAAGGAGAATATTTTCCGTGAGAATAAAACTCTTTTAATTCTCTTTTTAAAATTTTTAACTTTATATATTATCTTTATAATTAATTTTATTACAATAAAAAATTATTTTTTTATTAATTAGGCGGGTCGCGAGCGGCCCGCCCAGTCTCGCGGGTTGGCTGACGGGTTGATGGGCTTGGCGGAGCGGGCCAAAGCGGGTCAGTGGACTGAAAACACCAACCCGACCTGCCATATTATGATGGGTCGGCGGGCCAGCCCACCGAGCCTAACCCGTTTTGCCATCCCTATTTACAATGTTGCTTGATGTTAGCTTTTGTTCTTTCATTCCTGCGTTCCATAGCCATATGTGTTCAAGGGGCAAGTGAAGAGTGATCAAAATACATACATTTAAAAATAAGGATGAAATCAATTGGTAGTTTTTAGTTAAATTTTCTTTCTTCAATTTTAATCTTATTTTTATTAATTGAGATTAGTATTGAACGGATGTGGAATTAGATTTAGTTATGCAACAACACAATTGGTGATGATCAACCAGTGTTGTGTAAGGTTGAAACAATTTAAGCACAAGGTTAAAATTTTTGTAGAAGATTATAACTACCTCCTTATTTTTTTTTTTAATATAATCAATACCCCGCCCAAATAGTTTTACCTTGTCTTCAAGGTGAAAATAGGGAAACTTTTTATTAATAATAACAATAGACTTTCAACTATTCTCAATTTTCGGAAGTTGTTGTCATTTGAGAATTCACATGTAGAATTTAAGTGTGTATCAAGCAACTTTTCAGGAGTAACTTTCAACATATATTTTTTAGACAACATTAACATTAAGGTTTGAGAGGAATGTATAGTCATCATCGTTGGTTTGAGCAATGACACATGGAAGACTAGATGAATGCGATTGTGTTCTGCTAAGAGTAACTTACAAGCAACTTGACCAATACATTCCACAATCTGATAAGGACCATAATAGCAAGGACTTAAACTTTTATTTGGTTTTCGTGCCAAAGACTTGAACCTATATGATTGGATCTTTAGAAAAACTCAATCTACCTCCTGTACTTGTTGGCTTGAAGCTCATTCTATTCTTCAATGTTTTAAACTCACATATCTTTCTTCTTATATCTGGTTTACATTTTTCACCTTGGATGGAATGGTTGTGTCTTTCAAAATTAGAGGATGATAACGTCCATATAAGACCTTAAATGGTGTCATGTTTGAAAGAGGTACTGTAGTTGGTATTGAACTACAATTCAGCCCAAGGTAGCCACATGAGTCAATGCCTAGGTTGAGTACCTGTCATACACCTTAAGTACATTTCAAGACAACAATTCACAACTTCAGTCTAGACGTTTGATTGTGGGTGATAGGCAGTGCTATGTTGGCAAAATTTGGGTCATGTATATATATGATATATAATTTAAATGTGTTAGGGTCATTATTTATTAAGCCAAATAATAAAGTGATCTGACTAAATTAAAGTTTTGGCTAAAAGCATATGTTATGAAAATAAAATTGTGTAGAGACCATAGAGCAATTTCTAATTTGATGAGGGGTCAAATTGGAAATACTAAAACTTAAGTAATTAACCTAATTCTGGTTATTTTAAGGGGTCGGTGTCCCCTTCTGGGAGCACACACACAGAATGTAAGTATCAGTCCCGTTCCTTTCTTTTTATCCCCATCAAGAGAGAAAATCAAGAGGGAAATACAGGTGCTCTTCAGGTGGAAGACCATAAGATCAATATAGTGCTCTACAAAGACATCATCGTTATGGCTAATTCAGGTACGCTTTCGCATTCGGTTTACAACATGTTTATCGGTATGGGATTATGTTTATGTTTGATCGTTAGAATCAAAATCAGGATTATTATTATTATTATTATTATTATTATTATTATTATTATTGTTTTTCCAACAATTGGTATCAAAGCCGCCCATATTTGATTCATGTCTGTTTTATTTATAGAACCCTACTTATGAAAATTAGGATTAATTTTGTTTTAAACAATTCAAATTACCCAATTTTATGAACCATAAGTGGAGAATAATCTCTAATTTTCGTGAACCCTAAAATTTAAATTTGGGGGTAACATCCCCAATTTGATTCTGCTTGCTGATGGAACCGTGGAGGAAACTATGGATTATTCTTCTTCTTCGTTTTTCCATTTTGTTTCAGTTTAAGTTTCAAGTTTTACTGAGAAAGAAATAGTGTTTCAAATTTCAATCTTTCTTATATTGGGTTCTCTGTTCTTTTTTGAATCTTTTGTTTTTATTTAATTTTATGAGTTTGGAATTGGGGGTGGTGTTTGGGGAATTCCCAACATAAAGGATCTTAGGCAACTGGTGAATGTTTCCACATGTGTGGCTGTTATTATTTTATTGCCTCTATCCCCTAGGAATTTAAGAAAATTTTGATGTTAAATTAGGGTTTGAGTGATTACTGTTTAATTCCCTTTTAGGGTTTAGAGCAGTATGCTAAAGAGACTCAGAACTATATCTGTTTCATCCCTAGTGTGATTTTAGGGAGATGTTTATCCTTTATGTATTGGTGGAAGATGAGGCCTTTTTTCATCCTTTGATTTATTCAAATGAGGTGTTCATCCCTAATGAGATTTTAGGGATGTGTTCATCCTTAGTAGAATTCTAATGAGGTGATTCTCTTTTGAATTAGTTTGCAAATATTAAATATTTGGTTTTGTTATATAAATAAAATATTCAATTTTTGGTAGTTTAATATTTTTTTGTGAGCAAATTGAGTCAAGAAGTCACCAAAGTAACTTCTCTTGAATTGGGCAGTTCATGAAAAATATTGAATGTTAGTGTTTGTGTATATTCATGCGAGTATTAGTCGGTCCAAAGGAAGATTAATATTTGGCCGAATTGCATACACACTTGTAATGATAAACATGTGATAATTATAAGGATTTGCTTT